TGCGATTTGGCCAGGGCCAGGTTTGAACCCGCCCACCTCGGTATATGGGGCCAGCATCCTATGCACTGAGCCACAGGCACTGCCCTGGGTCTTTTTTTAATGGGGTAAAGTAGAATAAGTATAATTGAATGATCTAAAAATGAATTATGACTGTGGTCTGTGTTCAGTCTCAGGCCCTAATTGAAGAGCTGTTGCTATACAAGCGCTCAGAAGATCAGATAGAATTGAAGGAAAAACAATTGTCAACTATGAGGGTAGACGTGTGCAGCACGGAAACTCTCAAATGCTTAAAAGGTAATACATTCTTTTAAACAGAATAATTCGGTGTTTCTTTTCAGATCTCTCATTTTCTGTAACCAGACTGGTTTACCTCATAAAGACAACCTTAGGTTTTGGTACTTCTGGTTTCTCACATGGTGATTTCATGCATATAATAAATATCATAAGTAAATTCTTATCCTTCTCACATCTAGTACTTTCTTAATATATTAGGTTATATATAAACCATGGTATTTCACATATGCAGTTAATTATTTTTGTTTTGTTTTGTTTTTGGCGGGGCCACCATTGAACCCGCCACCTCTGGTACGTGGGGCCAGCACCCTACTCCTTTGAGCCACAGGCGCCGCCCCCCATGTGCAGTTAATTATTAAGGGTATGCTCTTTATTTATTTTATTTTTTATTTTTATTCTTTTCTGAGACAGAGCCTTAGGCTGTCAACCTGGGTAGAGTGCTGTGGCATCACAGCTCACAACAACCTCCAACTCCTGGGCTTAAGCGATCCTCTTGCCTCAGCCTCCCAAGTAGCTGGGACTACAGGCATCCACCATAATGCTCAGCTATTTTTTGGTTGTAGCCATTATTGTTATTTGGCGGGCCTGGGCTGGATTCGAACCCGCCAGCTCATGTGTACATGGCGGGCGCCTTAACTGTTTGAGCCACAGGCACCAAGCCAAGGGTATACTCTTTAATAAGGTCACTGTAGTACCTTATAAAATCTAATTACTTGTTATCTTTTCCTAAATTTAGTGAATTGTAAATCATACTCATGATTTATTAGAATATAAGCTTTTAACATATGTTGTTCTTTTTTTTTTTTTTGTAAAGACAGAGTCTCACTTTATCACCCTCGGTAGAGTGCCGTGGCGTCATATAGCTCACAGCAACCTCCAACTCGAAACATGTCTGAAGAGAGGGATAGATTACCCAAGTTACGCGGTTTGATGAGAGGCAAAACCACAATTCATGCTCTCGTCCAAAGCCTTCATTGAGAAAGAAGTACACATACTGAATTGTCAAGGATTTTTTTTTTTTT